GACACAATTTCAGATGGCCCACAATTGCTAGAATGGAATCCTTATTGACATGTAGAAACATCCGCGATCAGAGATATATATATTCAGGATGGCACTTCCAGACATGTATCTGATGTGGCTCTGATTACCTTACCTAGCCAAACCAGATTAACCAGAGAGTCCAGTGCTTCTATCTTTTCAATAATATTGTTGTCGAGCTGCAATTTTGTGAGGTTCACGAACTCCCAAAGATTGTCGATCTTCAGGATATCTGAGACCGCAGGAGAAAGAAAAGAACTACTTCAAGTTGGCCGCAAATATAGTCGACGAACTAGCAACACCAGGGTGGATATTAACCGAGGCAAATCACAGCACTGAATGTCAAACGCTCACACTTCCATAGTATCTAACTGTCGGAAAGACCCAATTTTACCACATTATTACAGTGGGCCAGCACTACACAAGGTTCACAAAGAACTGGGCAGATTTTAGCAACCTCGGAGAGCATCCCAACACACCGGGAGGCCAACAGATTACAGAAGGATGGAGTAGAAAGACAAGGAGTAGAAAGAGAAGGGGGAAAGGTTTCATCAACAGACTAATGATGGACCATCCTGACAGTCTCAACCTTTTAGCAATCACGTGGGTAGGCTTTCTCCGTGCCCAACTTGGTCCTCCAGCCTTCCAATACCAACCAAACTGTAGCTTAAAGTGGAGTTAGCAAAATAACTATGCCCCCAACAAGCCGAACGCTTTCCTGCAACAGCTTCTTCCAAACCTTTCCACAAACCTTCTTAAATATCCAAGTGGAACTACTAGGCCCGTGATGGCGAACTCATGGCACGCGGAGCCATTTGTCAGGGCACGCGAGACGCACGCATGCGCTGGCCAGCTGACTTTGGCCTTCTTTTGAGGCCATTTTTCGCCCTCCAGAGGCTTCCCTGAAGCCTCCAAAGTGCGAAAAACCGCCCCTCCGGGCAAACCGGAAGTTCAGGAACAGAGAGCCGAGGTGGCGCAGTGGTTAGAGTGCAGCACTGCAGGCTACTTCAGCTGACTGCAGTTCTGCAGTTCGGCTGTTCAAATCTCACCGGTTGACTCAGCCTTCCATCCTTCCGAGGTGGGTAAAATGAGGACCCGGATTGTTGTTGGGGGCNGTCCCTGGGGGAGGGGTTCTTGCAAAGACCCTCTGGGCAAAGGCCAGCTGTCCCCCTGGAGCGGGAGGGGGGGGGGGGGCTTGTGCCCAGCCATGAAAGTGTGTGCCCAGCGGGCTGTGACATGCCCAGCAGCTTCCCAAACCTGGTTCCGTCTGCAGGATGACTTTATGTTTTGTGGGAGATTAAAAGAAAGCAAAAGAAAAAAGCATGCTTTAAAAAAAAAAGATATCTTACATTGGCAGCTGAGGGATGTTTTGGGAGAGAAGTGATATAAAAGGCGAGCTTGATTGGCAGTGATACGTCAGGGTTTTTTCTGGGGGGGGGGATGAGAATAAGAGGGGTGCAAAGCCTTTGGAGGATCTGTGGCAGGGGGGGGGATGAAGTCGGGGAGTGGGGAGCGGTTGTAGGAAGAGGCAGCCTGAGAGTTAAGGAAGAGATCGCGAAAAGGAAAAGGGGAGGTTTAGGGATGCTCAGAACTTCCAGAATGAGCTTGGAGCTAGGAACGCTGGCAGGAAATGAAACAGAGGATGCCCAAGAGGGGAGAATGACTTGAAAACAGGGCAAGGTGCAGATTTAGAGGCCCTGTAATCTTGAAAAAGATCTCCTGAGGAGGGATCCAAGACAAGATGATTGAATTGTTTGTGGATATTTACGGCAGCGTCTCCACTTAAGGCTCGAGAAGCTGTGGTTTTCCTGGCTTAAAATACAGTGACTAAGCAGGGGTGTGGTGAGGTTGATGGTTGTACAAAAACCACGTGTCATCAGAGTGCAAGGACCTTGATGACACTGCTGTGCAATGTGCACCAATTGTCTCTTTTTAAAAGAAGCAACGCCTTGCATAAATGCCTGTGCGCTTTAAGGAAAGGGCTCTACGTGCAGGTTGGGAGGCTCCTGGATGTAACATGCCTTTAAGGAACCGAAGGATCCAACAGCTGTTTGGTGAGTGGACTTTTCCCATCAGTGGCCCGTTCAAATCACTTTCTTCAACTCAGTTTGGAGAGAGGAGAAAGGGTGGACAGAGCTGAGGCTGTCCACGGTTGAGAAATGTGGGGGAGAGGATACGCACGTGTTGAGACACATAACACAGGAATTGAAAAGAAGAATTGAGAAATTGGAAGGAAGAATTGAGAAATACAAAATCTGTGTCGGTTTCTACCTAGCTTTTAGTCAAAATTAGGAAGTGGGCCCCAAGCTTTTCTTTACTGGGAAGGATCTCGATCAGTTGATGAAGCTACCCACTTGCTTGTGCATTGTTAGAGTAAACTTCAACACACAATTTTATTGTTGCATAAGGCTTGTGAATGCTGTAGGGATTTGTGGTCCGAAAGCAGGTAAACGCTGTTTAATTTGAGCCCATTTTTCTTTGTGGCAGATGCTAAATCGTTGAGAATGAAATCAGAGGCCCTGCTCTAAAGGGCAGCAGTCTAATTAGGGTGCCTTCCTTTTGCCCTTGGAGAATCGAAAATAGATTCTGGCCTTTTTTTCTAACAAATTGTGACATTTTATTCAATGGAAAACGGATTCCCAACGCAGACAAGAGAGGGTTGCATAATGAAAGTGTTGTGTATAGTCCAAGGAATGTCATTTACATCCTGACTCTGTTGACCTTTTCCAAGACCTTGAATAAGCCACTTGGAACATCCCTTTATTTAAAAGGAGACATTACTGCAATTCTAAGAATATCCTTTACAGTACATGTATTGTTGCAATTTATTGGTATATACTGTGAAGCTGAAAAAGTCCTGAGGCTCTACACCAGTTGGGAGAGGAAAATGTAAAAGTCTCTGAAAGAGAAACCAATCAAAACAGGGCATTGCTGCTCTTCTTTTTAAATTCTTTCTTTTGTTAGAGAACAGTTTCTCTGTGGTCTTCATTTGGAAGGGACGTTGGAAATTTTGAATGAATTCCTTGAAAAGTTGCTGCCTTGAAGTTCTCAGGTCTTTCAATTAGAGGCTAGTTCAGACACTGCACTAAGCCAGCAAAGGATATAGTTCCTCTTGGTTTAGGATGTTGTGTGAATGCAACCATTGTTATTTTTTAAGGAGTTATTAAACATAACTACAGCTTAGCTCAGTGAGTGAGCCCAGCCCGGAAGGCACAAGCAGAGGTAGCACTTCACAATGGAAGTAGCTGCATTTGGAAAATTGAAGCTGTTTCCGAAGCCTAAAATTGGCCAACTGCAAAATGAAAAAAGACGCTCAACTTACACGCTCGTTATTTCTGCCCTCTTAGCCAAGAGATGGGAAATAATAGCTTGAAAATCTTTATTCTGAAGAAAATGCCTAATAGAAACAGATTGCCTTCGCAATCTTTTTGGCTATTGATTTTTTTAAAGTAAAAGAACCAAAGGTTGGCTAAACGCACAGTGTATATCAAAAGATCAAAACATCCCACTGGACTTGCAGAGCGGGATCTGATCTCAGTCGAGAAATAGTTGCTTTCAAAGTCTCAGGTCAGAAATTGTCCAAAGTTTAATCGAATGCATCTCCTCCTCCCTGATTTGAAATTTTAGTGTTGAAAGCTTAAGTAATCTTACAGGCTTTGGTATGGATGTCACTGACATTATGTGATCCGGTTGCTGACTATCTTGGGGGGAAAAAAGACATCCAACCTATTATTATCATCTCAATCTGGAATTTTCAAGATCTGCAAATTGTGTAGAGTATAACAAGTTTTCCTCTGGTAGCAGAGGGCAAGTGGCCTTAAAAAGACTGCCGGGGTTTTCACTTTAATTTGAACAGGGGAGGGAAAAAGCAAAAATGTCCTGGATGAAATATCTGCTGTATAACCTTGGCTGAAGTAGTTCATAGTTCACTGACTTTCCTTGTTGAATGGTTCTGTGGTTCTTCCGGGCTGGTGTGGGAGATGCAATCATCCGGTTGTTGTTTCGCGTGCCCTTTTGATGTTAGAGAAGATGGAGACTGGTCCCATTAAAACCTATTGGATTGATGAAAGCTTTGGCATCTGCAATTAAAGCCGGTGGCCTCCGAAAATATCTAGGGCTAGAAATGCATCAGCATTGTGCTTCCTCTGCCAGTAAATGGCATTGATTCCCATGAAAATTTAATCGCCAGCACACTAGGACATTGGGTAAACATGAGCAAACCCTGTTCACGAAAGGGTGGAGATGATCAGAGG